CCAAGATCCCTTGGAGGTTAGGACTGCTAAGGAGAAGATAGATGCTGCAGCAGTTGAGTTCTTGGATGCATATGTGCGAAAAATTAGGGATGAAAAGTATGGGTGGAAGTATGGTTGTGGGGCTAAAGGCTGCACCAAGCTTTTTCATGCTACTGAATTTGTGCACAAACATCTGAAGCTAAAACACCCAGAGCTTGTCACTGATCTGACTTCAAAATTGAGTGAGGATCTTTATTTCCAAAATTACATGAAGTAAGTTTTAATTTGAGTCTTCTTTTGTTTTGTAATTTGTGTTGCAACCATGTGTTTGTGGAAATATCAATTATAATGGCCTTATTATCATTGTAGTGATTCAGATGCACCCGGAGGAACGCCTGTCATGCAGCAACCTCAGGTAGAGTTGTGATTTTATTTACTTTGCCAATATATTCAGAATAAAAATATTACTAATGATGATTCATGACTTACATCTTTGCTTAAGTTTTTTATGAATAATTTCCTTTTAAATGCATGCTGTTTTTATCTATGGGGTAAGTAGTTTGATTCATCAATCTTTTGGAATTTATGGCTTAAACATAGTGATATGTATAAAACCTGTTTTTTGTGGTTTGATTTTCAAATGCTCATGGTCCATTTTGTGTTCTGCATGTAGAGGGTCAAGTCTCTTAAGCAAAGATTAGGAGGTCTGGATGGCCGATTGAAAGATGATCGTGGTAGTCGGCGAGATCATGATAGAGGTGACAGAATAAATGGAGATAGGCCTGACAATTCCCCATCCGGTGAGAGGCAGTTGGGAAACCATGATGAAGCAATGTATGATGCTTATGGAGGGCCTTCTGTACCTCAGTTTACCCCAGATATGCCCCCTCCTCCCCAAGTTTTGATGCCTGTACCTGGGGCTGGGTTGGTTGCTCTTCCTATTCTTCTGACTCTGATCCACTTTATTATTGCTTTATTGAGATTTTGCTGGTACTTACATAATTTTCAACCCTACAGGCCTTTGGGACCTTTTGTTCCTGCTCCACCAGAAGTTGCAATGCAAATGCTAAGAGAGCAAGGGGGACCACCTTCATACGATGCTCCTGGAAGGAAGATGCGTTCTGGTCCTCATGTGGGTGGATCCGCGCCAATAATTGGTGTTCCTCCTGCTTTTAGACCAGATCCTCGACGGATGCGCAGGTAAATCTTTTGCAGGACTCTTGTTCACTTATGATGTCTCCAAAACATGTTATCTCTTTTCTGCTCACGTATGTGATCTTTAGACTTTGTCTGCATGTAAAATTCCCCCCCTCCCCCCATGAAAGTTCGGAATGTATCTTCAGTACCTAAGTTATTCATCCATTTCCTAATGTCTAATAGTCACTATTTTTGCGAGCCCTTTACTTGAAAGTAAAAAATGTAGCTAACTATGGCCTGATTTTTTTTTTTTGAGAATTGAGATAAGCATTAATGTTCAAAATGATATCCATGTAACAAGAGATTGAGTCTGGCAACTGATGAATGCATCTATTCAATTTTCTATTTGCATTCCATTTAGATTTGGGTTCAGATTCTCCAATGTTATTAAATAACATAAGAGGTATATTTGGAGAGATGAAGACATAATATGTTTTCAACATAACTAATGTGGTCCTTTTAACCATTGATGTTGGGTCGGTGCACAAAACTTGTGTGTATTTGTGTTCAACAGGAGGGTCTTGTAACATATATGTGTTTGTTGTCTCTGATTAACTTTACCGTGATGGTGTTGCAGTTATCAAGATCTGGATGCCCCAGATGACGAAGTCACCGTCATAGATTACCGGAGCTTGTAGGTGTCCTTGTTGGGTTTCTGTAATTTCAATGAGATCAGCATTCTGACTGTATTAATGAGATTATGCTCCATTTTCTTTTCTGAAGTTGTTTGAGGATTTTATCTGTTTTGTATGGCGTGAATTTGAGGAGAGGAAATTGACTTAGATATTGGCACTGGAACTTGATTTTGACTGACTTGCAGATTTCTTAAAATTAGAGTCTAATATCTATGCTTTAAAGATTCATACACATTCAGTACATTATCTACCATTCATTTGTATTACTTTTATGTAAGATGATGGTTAAAAATGAATGGTAGATGATGCATTATAAAAATCTGTTATCAGTGAATATATATATATATATATTTTCTGTTAAAAATATAGTATTTTTAGAGAGATACGTATGGTGTGAGAAGACCTCAAAATGGGATGAATGTTCTATTCATCCATTATCATTTTAGAATTTGCTTTTAAGCTTAATGTGAAGTTTTACTGTACAAGTAGTTATAAAAAAAAATCTGGGCATGTTAGAAGTCTGAAAGTTCATAGGGCTTATGTACTATAGACATTTTAGCCTAAACAGGTGAGACTATTTTAAAATTGGATTTGGGCTGGACTTACTCGGGTGGGTTCGGTCTACCCATTTATTCTTCACATACTATTTTGGTTAGGACGTTAAAGTGGTGTAAGAATTTAATATTATTTTATAAGCTTTAGCCTTGCCCAACACAACAATTATCTCTTGTATTGAGGAACCAATTTGTATATGAACTCAACCATGGATTTGCACCCAAAAATACTAAATACGAGCCTTTAATCAAACTTCAAAACTTTTGAGGTGTAGTTTTAAGCTTATCCGATAATTATTTTTCCCATATTAGATTCTACTTATCCAATCTAATGATAAAAACTATATCAGCTTCCTTCTTCTTTCCTTTCCTTGCTTTGCAAGCTATCTTCGTAACATGTAATGTTAAAAAATGGGACAACTCGACCTACACATTACCATGTTTTGCATGAAGAGATTTGGTTCTCCACATATGATTTGCAACATCATTATCATTAGCAATCTTATTTTGGAACATATTTCTCTTACCAATCCATTGGGTTTATGGCTGAAAATGATTCTCATTAAGCTGTACTTTATGCATTATTGTAGTTGCCCCTATTTGCTATTGTTGGTTATGTATAAAACAAAACAATATAGAGGAAATGTATAAAACAAAACAATAAAGCAAATTATTCATATATCATAAAAGGAAAACTAAAAAATTGCTACTTGAATAGTATAATGAACATTACATAACTTGTACATGAATCATGAAATATTTCTAACTGTAATTTTAACTCTTTTATTGTCTAATGATTTGGAACATAACAACTTCTGAGTCATCTTAATCAACAAATATATTTAACAACTTCCGAGGCGGGACAATATGTGAAGTTTGATGATTTTTCTAAGACTTCTTCAAGTCATGGTGGCACAACATCTAGTAGTGCACCTCAAATGCCTCAATTATCCCATCTTCATAAAGATGTGACCAATTCCATGTTCTTTTGTTAAAAGCTTAATTCATCTCCCTTTCACACAAACAAACATGACTTAAATTAGGAACCTACTATTCCATAAGAAAGTAATTTTCAGAACCTAGTATTTGAACATTCAGGAAACAAACTCTTCGCTTTCAAGCTATGTACATAAATTCCCCCTAGACTCCATTAAATGAGAGACTTGTGCACCGTATCACAATATACTAGGTATTAATATTGTTGTGATTAAACTCAGGGATATTACATTTCTATGCAATCAGCATTTTGGTATCTTATTTACTATGTGGGCATTCTTAACAAGTTATATGTTTTTATATGTTGTTGAATTAATTGAAAAGAGCATTGTTATGTACATCACAATGTTATATTTTTGTTACACTTTTCAAGCTTTGCCCTATAAATGTGAAGTATTTTGTTGTGACTTGTGACATACAAGAAACATTTTTGACTTGAAAATGATGGATGTAAGCATGATCCAAGTTAATACAATGAAAATTTTCAAATGTTATTTTACCTGTCAGTGTTTTAAATTGCGATTGTGATTGTGATAATAGTTGCGGCTACGGCGACTGCGATTATTGTGGTGTGAATTATTTTGTTATTAAAACAACAATTTTGAAACCAATGCGGCCTATGCGGTCCGATGTGACCTGATGCGGTTCAAATGCGGTCCGATGTAATTGTGTTGCGGCCACATTAGGTGATGCGGTCCGCAATTTAAATCTCTGCTCTCAAGTAACCCCATGAAACAGTCCAAGCCATATCATTTCATTCTGTTTAATGAGCTATGCCATTAATGTGAATAAGTTTTACTTTTGAAAATGATATTTTTGACACCTTCCCTACAAAGTTATCAGCATTATTTTTATATTTTGATTTCCCATTGAAGTGGGAGAAAGGTAAAGAGTTTTATGCATTTTTTTTACTAAAATGAAATGTATATGACAAACTGGCCTAGGAGGTTGGCATTTAAAAGCTTGTTGTGGAATCTAATTAAGCTACTTCTTACTATCATCAACCTTCTAAAAAAGAATGAGGAAGAGAAAAAGCTTAATGGCTAGAATTTTAAGATGGCTTCACTTGGACTCAAGGAGTGGGAAATTGTTTTAAACAAGGTCATATGACTTTCATAATGCCTCATATTCTCTTTGAGCTAAGTAAGTACCTAATTTTGTTTATCCTTTTTTTTTTTCAAAACCCTTTTATGAGTTCTTATTTTTAGGGTAGTATTGAGTATATCTTAAGTGCCAAAATATCACCACTAAATACTTTGTAATTTCACTATACATGATTCAGACTAAACATACATGTATTCTCTGAGTGATATTTTTAGTCTTCTGTGAAGCATGCAGGTTATGCACAGGCAAAATAATGCTTAACATGTCTTCCTCTTTCTGCAATTAACTTTAGTTTCTCTGATACAATCCAAAAACTGTTAATCCAAAGAATATGAAAGGAACATATAGATATAAACCATGATTTACATTCCTAGTTGTTGAATAATGAAGCAAGTGCAAGGGGCACTACAACTTTATTGTTACTTTATAGGTACAATATTCACACCAAATGTTATTTTTAGTCTCACATTGACAAGGTTAAGAAGTAGAAAGGGAAGACTGAATATAAAAAGGAAGGCTAACGGTGGAATAACTCATACCTTTCTCGGCCTTTTGGCTAAGATCAAGTGTAGTATCTGTTCTTATCAGTTTAATATCTGATATGTGGGTCATTGGCCTGCACGATATTAAATTACTTTTTAAAGGGGAGAGGTCATTCAAATAGCTTGCTATTGGGTCTCTCAGGTATCGCTCATGTGTTGCACTACAACATGAGTCGGTACACCCTATCATTCTTAGTTTTAATAGTATTTAGTTAAAAGATAACATTTTTTGTGTGTAGAAAGTTGGTTTAGTAACATAATACAACTAAATCCCATGTTTAACCAAAGTGTAGATCAAGAGAACAATTTTATTAACCTTACTCAACAACCAACAAAAAATCACAATTTGTAGCCACAAAATGACAATAATAGATATTTTATTCATATATATATATATATAAATATAAAGTTGCTACCTTTCTTAAAGTCATGGATATCACTTGTGGGATGGACTTGATTTTGTCTTCTTATATATTTTATCAAATCTACATTTTCTTCATTTCACTTATTTCTAAAGTGAAGGATTCAGATCCTCAATTTGTATAGACTTCACCTTCCCTGATATGAAGAATTGAAACTCATGCATGCACACATCTAAATTGTATATCTTCAACTTATTAGTGTCATTTCAATGTATATACGGTCAAAATTCAAGAGGTTCTCCAACAAAAAAAACTCAACGGGTGCCTACAATAGCTAAAAAAGGTTAATAGAATTGTTAGAAGTACATTTAAATTTGCAAGGCATAGTTCATTTCAATTTTCAATAGCCATAATAACTTTGTCATTGAGTTATATGAAGAACAAAGGAAATAAATAAAATATTTTACAGTGTTAAAGTGATCTAAAAGATTTTTAAGGTGAAGAAATACTACATCACATCATAGAGTCCACATTGGAAAAAACAATGAGAGGATTCAAATGTTACTAATATAAAAGGAAAGACCTAGGAGTTTAAAGAGTCACAGAGCCATCTGATAAGCACATAGCGAACTATTCTTTCGCCTTTTACTAAAGAATACCGTGTGCTTCTCACATAAAGTGGCATAAACTTATTTTTTGAGGGATTCCTTTTATTGAGGGCTCCATAATTCGGTTGGAATTTTTTCAATTTTTTTTTTGTCTCATTTTTTTAACATTATTGATGAGAGTTTTCAAATTAATCTAATAAAACATGTTAAAATGTCAAATTAAAGAACCCTATAAATGAAAATGAATTTGGTTGGGTTGTCCACATGTCATTCTACTACTTCATAGTAGATGTCTTACAATACTCATATGTAGGGATGACAACGTGGCCGGACAGGTACGGGTAGTGTATACTTGTGCTCAAACCAACATTATTTACGGGTATCCGTGCAGGTATCAGATATCTATTGGTACCTAACGAGTTTTTAGTTTTAATTATATTTTACAATAACTAATATATAAAAATAATTATTACTTTAATAATATGATATGTAAATGATAATTTTATGATTATAGTCTTATCACTAAATTTTATTATGAAATAATAATAAAATAGACAAATATAATGTTAAAATAATAATAATAAAATGTAAAATATATAAAAAATTTAATTAAAATATATACGCGGGTACTCGCAGGGCGGATATCATGATACCCATTCCTACCCGTTAGATATTTTTACGGGTACCCATTGTAGGTATTTTGACGGGTACTTACGGTTGGGTATTTTTGCCATCCCTAGAGTTATATGTGTCAAACTCCAATTACAACTATATGGTTTGACAACCTTAAGCATAAAACATTGCCAATTTGTTGGATGTGAAAAGTTTTATCAACAACAACAATGCAGTCTACCACTTCTCCTCACACACACTCATAATATATTCAAACACATACTCATAATGTGTGATCATGAGGATCTACTTTCTACAGCGAGTTTAAAAGATGCATTGTTAAGTATGCTTAGGATTTCGACATTAGTAAATTTATAGTTGGTATGAACAAATTGATGGTGAAATACTAACATTCCTATGCGAACCAATCATGTCTTGATCATGTAGAAGCAAGCTTCATCTGTGAAGTTTGTACTTCCTCCCAACTATCCAAAGCCCACATTGTGTATAGTGATGATAGTAAGCAAATGTTGTTAATACAAAAATGAAGGGATTCGATTTGTCATCTCCACGGAGCCATGTGATGAGCACAAAGCAAACTATTCTTTCGCCTTTTACTAAAGAATACCATGTGCTCGTCACTCATTGTGGCATACGCTTATTTTTGAAAGGGTCTTCCTTTACATGTCTCCACAACTGTAGTTTAAAACTTCTAATTGACATGTAATAAACGAACGAGTGGCCATTATAATGTCATTGCCTTTGACCATAGATGAGGAAATCAAATTTGCCATATCCTTTGTGTTGGGAATCTTGCACACAAAAAGCAAAGAAAGAATACAGAGAAAGGTTGCATACAGAAGAAGGAGAAATCGTGTGTATAGGAAAGAAGAAGAATGAAATTGTCTTACTTTATGCATTATTGTAGTTGCCCCTATTTGCTATTGTTGGTTATGTATAAAACAAAACAATATAGAGGAAATGTATAAAACAAAACAATAAAGCAAATTATTCATATATCATAAAAGGAAAACTAAAAAATTGCTACTTGAATAGTATAATGAACATTACATAACTTGTACATGAATCATGAAATATTTCTAACTGTAATTTTAACTCTTTTATTGTCTAATGATTAGGAACATAACAACTTCTGAGTCATCTTAATCAACAAATATATTTAACAACTTCCGAGGCGGGACAATATGTGAAGTTTGATGATTTTTCTAAGACTTCTTCAAGTCATGGTGGCACAACATCTAGTAGTGCACCTCAAATGCCTCAATTATCCCATCTTCATAAAGATGTGACCAATTCCATGTTCTTTTGTTAAAAGCTTAATTCATCTCCCTTTCACACAAACAAACATGACTTAAATTAGGAACCTACTATTCCATAAGAAAGTAATTTTCAGAACCTAGTATTTGAACATTCAGGAAACAAACTCTTCGCTTTCAAGCTATGTACATAAATTCCCCCTAGACTCCATTAAATGAGAGACTTGTGCACCGTATCACAATATACTAGGTATTAATATTGTTGTGATTAAACTCAGGGATATTACATTTCTATGCAATCAGCATTTTGGTATCTTATTTACTATGTGGGCATTCTTAACAAGTTATATGTTTTTATATGTTGTTGAATTAATTGAAAAGAGCATTGTTATGTACATCACAATGTTATATTTTTGTTACACTTTTCAAGCTTTGCCCTATAAATGTGAAGTATTTTGTTGTGACTTGTGACATACAAGAAACATTTTTGACTTGAAAATGATGGATGTAAGCATGATCCAAGTTAATACAATGAAAATTTTCAAATGTTATTTTACCTGTCAGTGTTTTAAATTGCGATTGTGATTGTGATAATAGTTGCGGCTACGGCGACTGCGATTATTGTGGTGTGAATTATTTTGTTATTAAAACAACAATTTTGAAACCAATGCGGCCTATGCGGTCCGATGTGACCTGATGCGGTTCAAATGCGGTCCGATGTAATTGTGTTGCGGCCACATTAGGTGATGCGGTCCGCAATTTAAATCTCTGCTCTCAAGTAACCCCATGAAACAGTCCAAGCCATATCATTTCATTCTGTTTAATGAGCTATGCCATTAATGTGAATAAGTTTTACTTTTGAAAATGATATTTTTGACACCTTCCCTACAAAGTTATCAGCATTATTTTTATATTTTGATTTCCCATTGAAGTGGGAGAAAGGTAAAGAGTTTTATGCATTTTTTTTACTAAAATGAAATGTATATGACAAACTGGCCTAGGAGGTTGGCATTTAAAAGCTTGTTGTGGAATCTAATTAAGCTACTTCTTACTATCATCAACCTTCTAAAAAAGAATGAGGAAGAGAAAAAGCTTAATGGCTAGAATTTTAAGATGGCTTCACTTGGACTCAAGGAGTGGGAAATTGTTTTAAACAAGGTCATATGACTTTCATAATGCCTCATATTCTCTTTGAGCTAAGTAAGTACCTAATTTTGTTTATCCTTTTTTTTTTTCAAAACCCTTTTATGAGTTCTTATTTTTAGGGTAGTATTGAGTATGTCTTAAGTGCCAAAATATCACCACTAAATACTTTGTAATTTCACTATACATGATTCAGACTAAACATACATGTATTCTCTGAGTGATATTTTTAGTCTTCTGTGAAGCATGCAGGTTATGCACAGGCAAAATAATGCTTAACATGTCTTCCTCTTTCTGCAATTAACTTTAGTTTCTCTGATACAATCCAAAAACTGTTAATCCAAAGAATATGAAAGGAACATATAGATATAAACCATGATTTACATTCCTAGTTGTTGAATAATGAAGCAAGTGCAAGGGGCACTACAACTTTATTGTTACTTTATAGGTACAATATTCACACCAAATGTTATTTTTAGTCTCACATTGACAAGGTTAAGAAGTAGAAAGGGAAGACTGAATATAAAAAGGAAGGCTAACGGTGGAATAACTCATACCTTTCTCGGCCTTTTGGCTAAGATCAAGTGTAGTATCTGTTCTTATCAGTTTAATATCTGATATGTGGGTCATTGGCCTGCACGATATTAAATTACTTTTTAAAGGGGAGAGGTCATTCAAATAGCTTGCTATTGGGTCTCTCAGGTATCGCTCATGTGTTGCACTACAACATGAGTCGGTACACCCTATCATTCTTAGTTTTAATAGTATTTAGTTAAAAGATAACATTTTTTGTGTGTAGAAAGTTGGTTTAGTAACATAATACAACTAAATCCCATGTTTAACCAAAGTGTAGATCAAGAGAACAATTTTATTAACCTTACTCAACAACCAACAAAAAATCACAATTTGTAGCCACAAAATGACAATAATAGATATTTTATTCATATATATATATATATAAATATAAAGTTGCTACCTTTCTTAAAGTCATGGATATCACTTGTGGGATGGACTTGATTTTGTCTTCTTATATATTTTATCAAATCTACATTTTCTTCATTTCACTTATTTCTAAAGTGAAGGATTCAGATCCTCAATTTGTATAGACTTCACCTTCCCTGATATGAAGAATTGAAACTCATGCATGCACACATCTAAATTGTATATCTTCAACTTATTAGTGTCATTTCAATGTATATACGGTCAAAATTCAAGAGGTTCTCCAACAAAAAAAACTCAACGGGTGCCTACAATAGCTAAAAAAGGTTAATAGAATTGTTAGAAGTACATTTAAATTTGCAAGGCATAGTTCATTTCAATTTTCAATAGCCATAATAACTTTGTCATTGAGTTATATGAAGAACAAAGGAAATAAATAAAATATTTTACAGTGTTAAAGTGATCTAAAAGATTTTTAAGGTGAAGAAATACTACATCACATCATAGAGTCCACATTGGAAAAAACAATGAGAGGATTCAAATGTTACTAATATAAAAGGAAAGACCTAGGAGTTTAAAGAGTCACAGAGCCATCTGATAAGCACATAGCGAACTATTCTTTCGCCTTTTACTAAAGAATACCGTGTGCTTCTCACATAAAGTGGCATAAACTTATTTTTTGAGGGATTCCTTTTATTGAGGGCTCCATAATTCGGTTGGAATTTTTTCAATTTTTTTTTTGTCTCATTTTTTTAACATTATTGATGAGAGTTTTCAAATTAATCTAATAAAACATGTTAAAATGTCAAATTAAAGAACCCTATAAATGAAAATGAATTTGGTTGGGTTGTCCACATGTCATTCTACTACTTCATAGTAGATGTCTTACAATACTCATATGTAGGGATGACAACGTGGCCGGACAGGTACGGGTAGTGTATACTTGTGCTCAAACCAACATTATTTACGGGTATCCGTGCAGGTATCAGATATCTATTGGTACCTAACGAGTTTTTAGTTTTAATTATATTTTACAATAACTAATATATAAAAATAATTATTACTTTAATAATATGATATGTAAATGATAATTTTATGATTATAGTCTTATCACTAAATTTTATTATGAAATAATAATAAAAT